TATCCAGCACTGTGACCTATTTAGAGGTCTTTTCCATCTGCATTTGTCTTTATTGTGTATCTGTAATTCTTTACTGACCAGAACGGTTTCTTAAAATGCTAAGTGCTTTTTTTTAAAATAGATTTTTATTGGGCTCTACATTTTTTCTCTGCTCCCCTTCCTACCTCTCCTCCTCTTCAACCTTCCCCCAAGGTTCCCATGCTCCCAATTTACTCAGGAGATCTTGTCTTTTTCTACTTCCCATGTAGATTAGATCTATGCAAGTCTCTCTGAGTGTCCTCATCGTTGTCTAAGTTCTCTGGTTCTTAAAAACTTAAGCTGTGACATTACTAGGGCGTATATGGTCCTTCCTGCTTGCTCCATACAGTTCAACATGGTAGAAGTTCATTCACCACCTCTGTAAGCTGTGCACATTGCCCCAGTTTTAGGTACACAGAAAGTCTATGTTGCCATTAAGCAAGTTCTAGCATGTTGTTCACAAATTCCATTTAAACACTTGGCCTCCCCCAACAGCCAGAGGCCATGCTGGCAGCATGGCCCAGAAGGCTGGCATTTCAAACAATGGGATTTTTTTTCTTTTGCTACCACTGAATCAGAAAAATCTCTCTTAAAGGAGCTGTAGCAAGCTGCCAGCTGAAAAATAAATGCAGCTGATCTTTGTTTTTTCGTGCCTAGAATTTCTTTTTAAGCTCTCTCAGGTTTTAAGTGGATTTTAGTTGGCCGTGTGGGTGTCAATTTGTTGGAGGAGCCTGCTTGTTGGTTCCCGGCCACCCGGCTAGCTGAGACCTGAAATAACCACACAGAAACTGTATTAATTAAATCGCTGCTTGGCCCATCAGCTCTAGCTTCTTATTGGCTAGCTCTTATATTAATTTAATCCATTTCTATTAATCTGTATATCGCCATGTGGCTGTGTCTTACTGGGTAAAGTTTTCAACATCTGTCTCCAACAACTCCATGGCTTCTCTCTGACTCTGACTTCCTCCTCCCATGTTATAGGCTGAACCAGTTCCTTTATTCATTAACCAATAAAGCAACACATAGACAGAAGTACTTCTCACACCACCTAAAAATTAATATCTCTTAATTTCTCAAAATGTTGAAGATCCGACCCAATTAAAATTAATTCAGGCTTTGGAGTTGGAGTGTGAGTCTCTCCTCTGAATTGAAACATGTTGTTAAAGTAAAAATTCAGAGTCTCTGCCTCATAAGAGAAGAGCCACCTTGTGTGGGACAGAAGCAAACCAAAATCTAGTGACTATTGTTAGAACAAATCCCTTTCCCTTAATGCTTATTTTTGACTCTTTATAACCTTTCTTTAGATATATCACTATCTTAAAACTTAAACTTTCTGTTTTGTTATTAATAACATTTGCATTTTCCACAGTGAATAATAAATTTCCCTAAATGTCATCTATGACGTCTCCCAGAAGATGAGGGGACCCCACAACAACAGCTCTGACTGGTCTGTGTGACGCCATTGAGCTGATAAACACCACTCAAAGAATGGGTTTGGACTACACACTGCTCAGGACAGTTCTAAAGAGGCCAGCTCAGACAGGCAGCCCTTCTTACAGTACTTCCGCCGTGACTGGAGAGAAGCATCACCCATCACTCTGAGACTGGCTACACATGTCTCAACTAGTTTTCATGAGACTTAACCACCGCTTTAGGTTTTTTTTTCAGAATTCCATAGTGATACTGTTGCCCCCTAGACAGCAGGAAGCAATTCTAAGATCACAAGACCATCTCCAAATACATGGGTTGTGTGGTTTCTCAGTTTTTCTCAGGTTTGTGAATAATTGTCATCTGTAAGGGGTTGGTTATCAAGTTTTATAGGGTTGGACATGAAACAATAATGATTAGGCTCAGGAATCTCATTTGGAATATTAAAAGAGGGGATAGATATGCTAGACTATTATATGATTATATCTACTTATATACTAAATTATCAACTCTCAGCCTTACATAATTTGCACTGGTATGGATTCTGGTATATTGATACAATTGGAAAATTATTTTCCTATTTCTTTTTAAGGTAATTTATATATCGATGCAAATTCAAAATTATTTTTGTTATATTGCATATACTTAACTATTTCTATTCAAAATATTTGTGTATATTGATAAAAAGGTAAGATCACTTTAGTCATACTGTGAGGCATGATTAATAAAACTCAGAAACAGAAATTGGGTTCAACCTGAAGACCTCAAATCAAAGTAGCCAGCCATTGGCTCTTACCTCACCCTCATTTCAAAAATAGCTATCCTGCCTTTGAGAATTCAGAATGAGACTAATCCGGAGCGCTGTCTCTTCCTGTTTTATAATCCGCTCTAGTTCTGGGATTAAGGGTGTGTGCCACTACTGCCTTGTTTCTATGCCAAACTAGTGTGGCTCCTGGGATTAAAGATCTTCCTGTCATTTCTTGTGGTTTTCAGAAGTTGCCTGCTTGCATTTGCTTACTCAGGTACTATTGCTTCTTTTCTCAGGTCTTGGATGGGGTTGAGGACTAGGTAGTCCCTCCATTTTTAACATCTAGCAATAGGAGAGAAAATTCATCTTGTACTGGTAACTTGGAAAGAGACAAACTGAAACTTTACCACAAATCTCTATCAAAGGCTCATTGCTACCGTGTCATAATAAAGTGTGTTGTATATAGAACACAGAAAGACTGCTATGTAACCTAAACCAGACATGCAGAAGACACAGACATGAACATGCTAGTGTGGCCATCTCAATAAAACTTTATTGATAAAGACGTGGAAGAGCCAAGAGCCAGTCTAAGCAAGGACAAGAGTTCATTTCTATAATCAGCTAATTATTATTTCATCTTTTTTGTTGATGATGTTAGTAATATCTTTTACAAATAGTTTTAATTTGTATTGAAGAAAAATATTTGCCAAGCATTATATTCTGATCACGTTTCCTCCTCTCTAAAATCTTCCCAGATCTTCCCCTTGTAGACAGACTTTTCTTTCCTACCCACCAATTATCCAATAACTGGCACAGAATCTCAATACTAATTATAAGCGCACAGCCAAGAGATCAAGCTTATTACTAACTAGCTCTTACAACTTAAATTAACCCATTTCCATTAATCTACTTATTACTACATGGCTCATGGCTTTTCCTGTCCTCCAGCCTGTTTTTCTCCCTCAGCAATTCCTGGTGACTATTCTGCCTCTGTCCTTCTTCTCCTATAATTCTCCTTGTCTGGATCTCCTACCCAGCTATTAGCCAGTCATCTCTTTATTAAACAATGAACCAAATACATATTTACAGTGTACAAAGATTGTTAGACAGTCTTCCATTCCTTACTTTCAACCCATCCAAATCCACACCTGTTTTATCTCTCCATCATCACAGATCAGAAAAACAATAAATACACACACACACACACACACACACACACACACACACACACACAGAGAGAGAGAGAGAGAGAGAGAGAGAGAGAGAGAGAGAGAGAGAGAGAGAAACCAGAACAGGGCAAATTGAACAAGCAGGGAAAAAACAGTAAAAGAAGATGCATAAAAAACATGGATAAAAATGTGCACACACAGGCACACATCCCACACACTTACACACTCTGAAATCCCATAAAAACACAAAATCACAAACCATAATTGACAAACAAAAGACCTGTGAGGCAAAATAAATATGATTCCTACACAAAGCATTATGAGGCAATAATCCTCTAAAATACCACTGAGTTCTTTTTCAGTTAGCCATGAACTGCTGAGCATGAGGCCCGCCCTTACATGTGGATTTTATGGGCAGTGTGACTCTGTTGGAAAAAACTAATTTTCCCTTTGGAAGTGGCTGACAATGGGAGAAAGCTTCTGTCTTGCACATTGGGCTATGTCCACCTCTCTAGTCCTGTGCAGCCCTGTGCATGCCTTCACAGTTTCTGTGAGTCCAGCTGTTTCTCAGCCTGTTGTGTCTTGAAGGCCTTGTTTCCTTGATGTCTTCCTTCCCTCTGCCCCTACAGTCCTCCTGTCGCCCCTTCCCCAGTGCTCCCTGAGCCCCAGTGGAGGGTTTGGTGGAGGCGTCCCCTTCAGCTCTGGGTGTTCCAGGGTCTCTCACTCTGTAAATTGTCAGCTGCGGTTTCTATTTGTTCCCATTTTCTGCAGGAAGAAGCTTCTCTGACGATGGCTGACAAGACGCTGTTCTGTGAGCACAGCAGAATGCCTTCGAGTCACTGCATTGCCACATTCCTTTAGAGGAACAGTAAGCAGTATTTTGTAGCATGAATAATAAAAGCACAGAGACAGATATTGCAGTTCAACCTGAAGATCAGAGAAGCAAACAGCTAGGCCACTAGAGAGCTCTTACCTCTAAGAAATCCTCAGAATGAAAGAGAGCAAGTTCCGGTCTTATCCTGTCTTATATTCCTCTCTAGTGCTGGGATTAAAGCTGTGTTGACTCCCTAGTACTGGGATTAAGGGTATGAGCCACCACCACCACCTCTATCTGTTTCTGCATTGACTGTGTAGCCCACGGTAGACTTGAATTTACAGAGATCCATCTGCCTCTGTCTCCCAAATTCTGGGATTAAAGCTGTGTGACACCACTGCCTGGCCTCTAGTGGCTTAGTTTTACCTTCTGATCTTCAGACAAACTTTATCTATTAAAATATTAATAAAATATCACTATATTTTCACTTTTGGTCTAAAATAAAAAGGCTATAACTAATATAAGAAAACTATATATGATAAGTACAATAACTATATACAATATATACATCAACAATGTCCAGTCCATTTGCATTTGACAAAATCAGAGAAAATAATCCATATCTATCCTATCTTGTAAATCCAAAGTCTTGTATCTAATCTAGTTCCTATCCTAACTTGCTTTCTGTGTCTAGTAAACAAGGAAAACTATAGCTATCTAGTCTTCAACTTCCTCAGAGACCCAAGAAGAAAATAATATTAACTGAGTATGTAGGAAATGTGAGCAAGGATTTCAAAAAAAAAAAAAAAATGTGAGAAATGACAGAAACAGCTGTCGACCTGAACATTTCACTGCAATGTTGGGGCAACCATCTTTGGCCCACAAGCCTAGAATATATGACAGACTTTTCTATGAAGCAGAGTTTTTGAAGGACTGTCTCGCCTTGTCTGGGTATGGTTTGGCAGTCACTCTTTTTTTTTTCTCCTGCTTGTCTTATTAGGACAGCATACAGTTGGCAGCCAATGCAGGGGTATTTTCTTGCACAGTGGCTTATTTTGGCCACAAAGAAAGCAAACTCCATGTGTAGTTTCTTTGATGCCCATCATCTTCTCTGAAGTTGATTGGTGATGCCAACAGCATTGTCATAAAAAAGAAAAAAGAACCTATGTTATTAAAACATCTTAAATACCATATTATGTAGATCTCTGGCATGTTTAAAGATGACCTGTCTATCTAAAATATATTTTTGTTTGACCTTGAAAATATACTTAATGTGACTGCAAGTTCGATTTTAATAGATGACTAATTACTTACCTGAATTCCCTTATTGTCCTAAAGAGTTGGTAATATTAACTTTCAAGAACTAGAAATTTGCATTATATTGTTAAGTAAGCTGTATAGGTACCATACCTTAAACAAGATTAGAAATGTATGTACAGTCTGTTTTTACCAAAATTAACCTCAAACTTGTATTAATATACAAAATTTGTATACAATATACAAAAGTCCAATCTGATGCAAAACATTTAAAACTAGTGGTTGCTTCTTAAAAAGCAAATTCAATAATCTATCTTTTTACATCATCATATCATATCCTCCCTTTTTACATTGTCATATCATATCCTCCCTTTTTACAT